CTTCCACATTGAAGGATGCTGCCAGGCTGCCCAAAGTCCCGGCCCCCGTCGCCTCATATCTTTTGCCTCTATCCCCTCTACCGTCTGATTTTCTCCCTGTGTTGGGCCGGCGCCCGGCTGTCAGGCGTAAGCCCTTAAATCCATTTAGAGTCCAGCCCAAATCTATCCAGAATTATGCTAAGCTCGGTCCCTTGTTCGACAGGTTTGAGGCACCATGCCGAAAACATATTCCTGAATATAGTGTCCAAGTATACGATACAGAATATGATATTGTAGCATATAGGTGATAAGTTATTGGATCGTATGTTGTCAGTTGGGCCCTCCTGCAAGGGCAAGGTAGCAATCTCCCTGCGCTTTAGCTTCGCCTTCCAACCTGGCCGCAGAACTCGTGGACAAATCCACGATAAGAACCAGGAAGGCAAACAACAAACAGCGCAAACGATCGGTAGAAAAAACTCCGGTATTCCACACCATGAGAACCGAATATATTTGCATTACTATGGGAATTTTGGAAAGCAAAATTGATATCGCGAATATACACCGTACCTAGCATTATTTCGGCTATTTATGACTTCAAGATTGTGATCCCCGGAAGCAGCTGCGCCTCTGCCGGGCCCCACGCAAGTGGCAAAATGGTTGCAGCAACAGGACTACTAAAGAAGTGAAAATCGAATTGATTAGGGCATCATTAGTTTTGAGAAAACCCAATTCGTGCTTGCAAAGAATTTTTTTCTTTTTATAATCCTTCTGTGGAAGAAATTGTCTCCAATATACACACAATATTATGCAATATCCATGATGCTTGCAAAGAGCACCGTATAGTCTGATATTGCTAGTTTGCATAACGCTGTCTCGCATTTGCCAATAATGCCAAGACCTTTTTTTGAAGTTGCAAAAGGCAACTCGAGCAGAAGGTCATTCAGAACATGGAGCAAGTGACCGGCGCAGTCACAACAAGTCAGAATGAAAAATGCATATATATATATATTCAAGCTTTATTAATGCCATTCAAATGTATTCTATCAAAGCATCAAACACAAATATTGAATTTGCGACGCGCCCACGCGTGTAGCTACTAAAAATAGA